TAATGCCGCCACCCTGTAATACAGTTCCTCATGTTGTCGGGACCCCCAGCCATAAAATTATTGTCACTGCTACTTCATCATTGTCATTTTGCTACTGTTATGAATCAGGCGACCCCTGTGAAAGGGTCGTTCAACCCCCCAAAGGGGTTGCACCCCACAGGCTGAGACCCACTGTGCTAGAGCCTTTGCTGGTAGAGGGACAGCTAAGTGAAGTCGGGGACGATGCAGCAGCATACAGAGTTCTAACGGCAGTCACAGGGAATTGAACCCTGCCTGCCCTGTTTACCGGCAGGGATTCATAGGTCACTGAGTCATGGTGAGCTTGGTTTAGTGGCAGTGTGGGTGCAAAGATTAAGTTGCAGCATCTGGCCTCGATGTCTGGCTCAACAGTAGATGGTTTACAAATGTTTATCCCCGACCCCTCCCCACCTAAGGCCCAGAAAAAGACAAATCTGGCCAGGGCTGCTGTAGGACCAGCCTCTGGACCCCAGTTAGAGGCGCATTTTGTTTAGGCATTTCCTGCTTGGCACGTGGCACTTGGCAAGTTTCCTTTGGTAGCCCTGTTTTCTGGTGGTTAGAATGATGCTTTGTTGGTTGGCACGTCTTCCTCTTATTTTCCCTGTGTCCCTCCCCACCTGCACATAGCTGTCATTGTGTTGGACTGGGGGGCTCTGTGTCTGCCAACAGCGGAGAGGAGCCGAAGGCTGCCCCCCCCACCCAGCCGCCCCCGGGGGGTGTTTCCCTGTCCCCTGGAAGGGAGGTGGGCAGCACTTGACACTCAGCCCAGGGCCTCTGTTCTGTGGCCTTAAAACTCATCTAGACCGGCAGCCTCACACTCTCATCTCCTTTCCTTTTTCGTTCTTTCTGGTAGACTTTTACATTTTAAAAAGTTTTATTGGCACTTCATCCACATAGCATACAATTCAGTAGTTTAGTCATATCGAGAAGAGTTGTACTATCATTACCACAATCAATTTTGTAACATTTTCTTCTTCCTTGTACTCGGTGCTATTTGTGTAATTTTTTTTATTGTGGCAAAAATACACGCAGCAAAAC